ACTGATGGTACTAGTCGATAATATCATTTCCGTTATCTCTTGTTGTCTCGCCTTTTATTTGTGTCGCATTTAAAGTTCTTCTTCCTCTGCCATATAGGTTCATCAGACGATCTTCTCTGGGGGCCGTACATCTTCTGCGACCGCATTGCCAAATTTTTTATATACAGATGTACCATGATTTTGGCTTCTTTCTATCGTCTTTGAACTGTGGATCTTAATGGGCTTCATCAACTCAGCGATATATTTTAAACGCAATCCTCTTTGTCACAATCTGTTTGCATTATAAAACTTACCGCATAATGTTTTATTTTCACCTAAAGGCATTTTTACGATAAACTACGTAATGAAAAAGATTACAAGGTTACAATTATTTAGGTGACAATTACTGTCATTATTTTAAGCTTCGTTTCTGTGTGTTTTGTTAAACTGCTTTTTTCCATAGCCTACTAAGCGAATAACAGTTTTGAAAAAATGGAAATTTCACCAAATCGCAGCAATGAAAACTTAAATTAATAGCTGACTTAATAGGGACATCAAGATTCACATTTTGAAGGATAATTTAGAAGGAGCCATAATCATGGCACTTCTTTTAAAGGTAGATAATAAGGTTCACAGGAGTTTCATATCAAATGAATTAATAATTTTTGTAATTTTGAAAAAGCGGACTTTTTGAAAATACCCTGTAACTTTTTTTCTAAACAAAAAATACACAACTGTCAAATATATCCCGAGATATTGACTAAAACTTCTAAATGTGATTACTATGAAAGTTAGATGCATCCTGGTACTCAAATATCGGAGTTAGGAAAGTGATAGGCTTCCCAATAGTGTGGTAGCAGTCTTTGTAGTATACTGCCTCTTTAGCAACAATATCGTTAATGGAGGACAGGTGAACAAGAAATTCGGTACTTCAGGAATTCTTTCTCATAGAACAAACCTACCTGATAAATTTAAAAACTTATAATCTCAACTAAATGTACAACATACCTTTTGTCCACAGACTTTTTGGTTTTGATTATTTTGTTCGGGTTTTTGATGAATTAATATGATTTAAAATAGCGACCAGACTAGAACAATAATTAATAATCCTAAGTAAATTTTTGCTCAGTCAATCTTCTCTCAATATAAACTTTTAAATCATCAAAGCAATGTATATATTGATTTTTAAACAATAGATGGTAATTTTGTCTTTTTTTATACTAGTGTCATAATAAACTTGTTCAACATTTATGCAACTGATTGCATAAAGTAGATCATTTTGACACAATATGTCACTTTATACAGTGTGTCCCAAAATTCCATGGATATAGAGCTACTGTATGTTCGTGAGATCAAAATAAATAATTTGCCTGTGAGGAAGCTTCAAAGTTGAAAGACAATTTTGTAAGAATATTTTAATTAAAGAGCCATTGCTTAAAGCAAAAATTACGCTAACTGAAATCATAAAAGGGTAAAAACTACCCTTATTCTATCATAAATGATATCCTATTTTTTTGAAGGGCCGCCCTCGTCTCCTCATTCTTTTTATGGAGAGCTCTACTTATTTGTAGCATTTTTAGCAACAAAATGGATCGCTCATATTTAACCCTTTCAAGACTAAACTAACGGGACTATATATCCCAAATCAAATTTTATTTTGACTACTGGGAAATATGTATATATAAATGCCGCTTTAGTCTTTTCAGTGCCTGCGGTAACCTAGCAGTTTGTTGTTTGTAAACAAAGCGAGATAACCTCAAATTTTTCGAGCCGCATGTTGATTATTTTTGGATGTTTTTAAGCCTTTTTTAGGGCAATTACATACTGTTTATACTGTGCAACCAAGTAAGTACCTTTATTTTAGTGTATATAATAGTTTGAACATATTTTACGTATTCCTTGATGCGAAATTTTCTGATTTTTTTTGTGTCCCAACAGGCTTTATTGGTGGGACCATTTGTCCCACGAGACCTATGAATGTATTTTTTTCTTTCAGAATGAATAGAAAAAACCACTAGTCCAAGCTGAGCTTGAAAGAATTGCTGAAAATCTTGATTTCTCCGAAAGTGATACTGATCCTTACCAAAATAGTGATGAAGACCCAGATCGGTATAGCTCGTATTTAGAAACCGAGTCTGAGTGCAATGGTGATGTTCAATCAGAAAATAACGACCTCGTCGAAGCTAAAGATATAGGTAGCGATAATGGTGATGTGAATCGTCAGAGTACTTTGTTTCCTCAAACTGCATCTACATGTCCTCAACCTGGGCCCTCAACTGCATCAAAGACGATAATGTGGTCTTCAGTTCCGCAAAATTATATTCCTCGATTTTAACTGCCTCTTGCTAGGGATACAGAAATCCTCCTGAATCAACAGAATTGGAAGTGTTTTTGCAGTTATTCCCAAAATGTTTGTATATGTTCATATCCTAATGACCCAATGGGAGGCTAAAAATTATCGAAAGAAAAACTAAAAAGAAAGTGAAATTCACTGACTATTCTGAAATTATGATGGTAACTGGTGTTATGTTAGTAATGGCTTATAATGTGCTGTCAAGCTTGAAATTCTATTGGTCAAAACAGCCTTCTATGGGAAATACTACAATTAAAAATGCCGCGCGATCGGTACAAATTGCTCATTTCTAACTTGTATTTTAATTACCTCGAAAAACCACCAAAGTCCATAGACGAAAGCATGGAGAAATTGAAAAGTAGATCCAGCTTGAAACAATATTTGCCACTAAAATTCATCAAGCGTGGCATCAAATTATGGGTAAGAAGCGACTCTCTAACCGGATATGTATACGATCTAAATGAATATAGTGATAAAGAAGAAGGCTAGATAGATAGAACTCTAGGGGAAATGGTAGTATGCAAGCTTACCTCTTCCATAAGAAAATCAGATATAGTTTGTTTTGATAGATTCTTTACATCAGTAACGTTGATGAAAACATTACCATACGCAGCAGTAGGGACTTGTATTAGTAGCCAAAAAAATAAACCGAAAAGTCGAGAAAAACTAGAAAAAAGTCAAGCCAAATTCTTGTGTATAAATGATGGGATAACTTTTACTAGATGGCAAGATACAAAGGAAGTCATGACAATTAGCAACTGTCACGGGGATCAGATAACCATGATTAAAAAAAACAGAAAAATGGTGTGACAGCCTCTCTTGAATGCCTTGAGATCATTTCCTTTTACAACAAGTATATGGGAGGTGTTGATTTGACAGACCATTTGACTTGTGGGAAAAGGATTTTACAAAATGATGTTAATGACTGCTGTAAATTCCTATATTATCCATAATGAAGTAAAACGCAAAAGGTACCATTTTTGGATTTCTTGGTGTCTTTGGCAGAAGGTCTTATTGAACATGGGAAAAGTAAGGCGAGTGCAAAGAGACGTTCAACATCTGGACGACCTTCGAAGAGGTAAAGAACAATGTTGAATATTGAAGATCACATGCATGTTGTTGAACAACAGCGGAGAAGGTGTACTAGATGCTCACAAAAGCTCACAAAACAATATTGAAAAGCGCACAAGTTCAGTCTGTAGAGCATGTGGTGTCCCACTATGTAACAAATGTTTTACACCTTGTCATATGTAATCACAAATCTTTGTTTATTATAAAATTAGTTACTAAAATACAGTTTTTTATTTATTGTTTTGTTTATTATTTTACAACTTTTCAAGACTGATGGGATGTAATGTCCCGGTAGGACGGACTATTGGAACAATATGTCCCATTTTTCAAAAAATTAAATAAATTTTGGAAAATTAAAAAAAAATAAAAACTGCTTAAAAAGCTTCCTTATGTTAGAAAATGGAATAATATTAATGATTACAACGATTACAACACGTGAAACAGAAATAAAAATTCGTCTTGGAAGGGTTAAGTAATTTTTCTTATAGACTGATGATTAGTCAAGAAAACTAAATTGGCGGTTATAACTATCGCAACCCGAATACTGTCAATTTTTAATGTTATTAAAATAAAAAAAAATCATCAATAGGTGTAGGTATCTACTGAAAAATAATAATTCAAAAGAAAGGATATTCTTTTTACAATAAATGTTCAATATAGCCACCTCCTTCGTTCGTTTAGATTTCAAGTCGGCACAAGAAATTGAAGTGTACCCTTCTAAAACTATCTAGATCATTTCGCATAAAGTTTACAACATTTTGAGTCCTACCCCATTATTGTTCATTTTCGTCGGTAGGAACTTTATAAAGTTTGATTTTCAGGTGACCCTAAATAAAATAATTAGAAGGATTACAGTCCGATGATCGAAGTGGCCACTGAATAGGAGCATCCCTACCTCTGCCAATCCATCTTCCATGGGATTGTTCACTTAAATAATCTGTCACAATACGGTAAAAATTAAGTGGTGCACCATCAGCGTAAATTGAGCGGTAAGTCTTCTAACAGTTGAAGCAAATGTTGACGTAGAAAATGTAAGAAACAGTCTCCGTTAAGACGTTTTGGCAATTTCAAATGCACCAATCAAGTAGGTGTTGATAATACCCAATCAAAAATTAATTTTAAACTCTCGTTAAAATTGTTTCTCTTTAATAATATGTAGATTTTCATCTGAAAATACATGTCCCTTTTGTGCATCTGTTATACCACGTCTTGTAAAGCATAACTCGTCTGTGAAGAAAATTTTTCGGTGAAAAACTGGATCAGCCACTCTGTTCTCTTGCATGACTTGTACAAAATGCAAACGAGAATTATATTAATCAGGAGGTAAAAGTTCTTGGACACTTTGAATGTAAAAGGGATAAATACGTTGTTTCTTAATTATTATTATTCTGTTGGATGTGCTTTTAGAAACCCTAGTTTGGCATACCAGTCGTCAGGTACTAATTTTATTGATGACAGCTATAATAACGTATAAAAATGTATCTAACTTTGACAAATTAATGTTTATTCAGCTTCAGAAAAGGTTGAGAATTTAGGTGCATTCTCTTAGCTGCCTTTATTCTAATTAACTTATATCAATAATAGTTTACCTCCTTACCAAGTATATTTTTAATATCAAAAGGTTCATGGTACGATACTTCTTTTAAAATATATTGCTCCAGTTTAACGCCGCAGTCTGTTAGGGTTTGAAACATGTTCCTCATTTTCCCTGAAGTGAACGTTGGTGTAAATTTAGTTCGCAAGTTTCTCCATTTCTTACCGCCAATCGCAAATAAATGAGCAGCTAAAAAATTAAAAAAAAAAGCATTATTTAAAATGATTAAATTTAATATCAAATCAACATACTTATAGGTTCAGCCTTTTCATTTACGTTGATTCCTCGATCAACAAAGTGACTAAAATCTTTAGTTAATATACATTTTATGGTATCTAAGTCAGTGGTCATGAATATGGGGGAACCTAAAATATAAAATCCGAAGTGTTTCCATCCTAAAAATAAAAAAAATATTTATTTTCTTCAATTTCTTTTTTACAAATAGAAGATACAATAGTTAAGAGATAAAACTCGTCTAATATGGGGTGCTCAACCAGTTGCTTGATATTCGAATAATTTAAATTTGTAACTCGTTAAAGTTATATTATATTATTTGATAATTTTCCCATTAATTTATTATGTGGTTTAGAACTTTACACCTCTTTTTACTTGGGAGTTGTTTGTAATGTTATTATCTTTAGTTTTTGCTATTATGGTTAATATTTATGATGGATAATATCAAAATAAATACAAGGGTGAATCCCTATGCTTCGCTCCTGATCCATGAGATAGCTCTTTTTTTCTATGGTAGTCCTCACTTCTTATGGGGTGGCCAAGACGGCATTTTACTGTAGTACTATGGCTGACTTTTCTTCAGGACAGTATCTACCTGTAGTAGGTATAAACACCAGTGGAGGTTGAACTTCATCGATCCTTCGATGATATCGCAAAATATATGGTCACATTTTTTTTTAACAATTTCTTTTTTAATTTTGTTGTCAAAATTTTTTGTCAAATTTTTTTTTCAAAATTTTTTGTCATAATTTTTTGTCAAAATTTTTTGTCAAAATTTTTTTGTCAAAATTTTTTGTCAAAATTTTTTGTCAAAATTTTTTGTCAAAATTTTTTGTCAAAATTTTTTGTCAAAATTTTTTGTCAATTTTTGTTTGAAAATTTTTTTGGCAATGTTTTTTTGTCAAATTTGCCAAATTATTTGTCAGATTTTTGTCAAAATTTTTTGTTCAAATTCTTTTTGTAAAAATTTTTGTAATTTTTTTTGTCAAATTTTTTTGTAATTTTTCTTTGACAATTTTTTTTTTATCGATTTTTTTTGTCAAATTTTTTGTTCAAATTCTTTTTGTCAAAATTCCTTTTGTAAAAATTTTTTGTCAATTTTTTTTCAATTTTTTTTCAATTTTTTTTCAATTTTTTTGTTAATTTTTTTCTAAAATTTTTTTGTCAATTTTTGTTTACAATTTTTTTGCCAATTTTTTTTTGTCAAATTTTTTTGCCAATTTTTTTTTGGAATTTTTTATCAAAATTCTTTTTTCAATTATTTTTGTTAATTTTTTTGTCAATTTTTGTTTGAAAATTTTTTTGCCAATTTTTTTTTGCCATTTTTTTTTGTCAATTTTTTTTGGCAATTTGTTTTTTGATTTTTTTTTTTCAAAATTCTTTTTGTCATTTTTTTTGTCCAAGTTCTTTTTGTCAAAATTCTTTTTGTTAAAATTCTTTCTGTCAAAATTCTTTTTGTCAAAATTCTTTTTGTTAAAATTCTTTTTGTCAAAATTCTTTTTGTCAAAATTCTTTTTGTCAAAATTCTTTTTGTCAAAATTCTTTTTGTCAAAATACTTTTTGTTAAAATTCCTTTTGTCAAAATTCTTTTTAAATTTTTTTTTGTCAACAGTCTCAAAAAGTGTTTATTTTACGAAAAACAAACGTTTTAAATTTCAATTTTTAAGAAATGATGCTAAATAACAGAAATTTATCATAAAACAGATGAAAAAGCTAAATAGACCAAAACTAGTCAAAAAATATTTTGTGTTTCGAAAAATCTCAAAAAGTGTCTATTTTACGGAAAACAAACGTTTTAAATTTGCTTAGGTATTGTAGAAACAATTTCTGATAAATATTAAAATATTAAATTTACTCTGCTAACCTTTAATTTTAGCTTCTTTGTAAATATTGGTGATTTCCTCGCCAAGCGACACAATTCTTCTATGTGGAGCAGCAAGAGTTCCCCACGGAATTGTCGCTTCCAAATAAGGAACATTCCTGTTTTTCCAATAGTTGAACGCCCGTTTGTAGTAAAGTATAACTATAGTAAGAGCAGTAATAACAATAACTAACCCCACCAAGTCATATATTATGTTGCTAGTTATTATCGACATTTTTATCTGTAACAAAATTAAACAGGCTGTATTAGTGACGGTAATAACCCTTTGTAAAGGGGTATCAGGCCAGGGTCATGTATACAATGGGATAAATATGTTTTGTAATCAATAAACTGATTTAATTGAATTATTAACAAGATTTGTTTTTATTAACACAATGTAATTATATAAAAAACTGAGATTTTATTTAATAAACATAAATAGCTTATTTGGTAAACATTTAAATAATAACAAATATACTTAATGAAATCCGACAACCGGGGGTTGATAATTAATTTAAATAATTCCTATATATTACATATTTATTTCGAATTTAAACAACATCCCAGCGTATCCCGCCTCGTAGGCGCCGTTTAATTACTTCTGGGAAAAGAAATATCTACGCGTAAACTCTAACGGTCGCTTCAAGGACAACCCTGTTTTTTCTACGCTTTTTCAGGGAAACTAAACATAACTAACAAAAGACAAATCTCCCATGAGTTAAGTTCAATTACAGACGTACACTAAATAATCAAAAATGCCATATAGTATTATTAGTAATAAGGAGATGGCACATAAAATACAAATTATAAACATTCTGCATCTGTGATTACGAGACGAGACGTCGCCCATACTTCTCCTGCCACGCCGGAGGACAGAGGCAACGATCTTACGACATCGTATAACAATATATGTAGATGTAAATATTTTATTTGTAAATAGTGTAAATAAAACTCTCTTCTCTCTCTAACGGTCGCTAGAACAAAACAGATGTAAGACGATAGGAATTCAGGAATTAATACAGGGCTTTATAGTCTTTATACACCGAAGTCACAGTCGTTCTCTGTCTGATACATTTGCATATATAGGAAATTTAAGTATAAATACCGGGGTTTTTGAGGGCTGGGGAATTAGATTTTTTATCTTCGCCGAGTCAAGTTAACAAAAAACTCAAATAACCACGTTACCGCCACGGTGACTCCTTTTTCTTCATATTCTTCAAATATAATTAAAAAGAGATATCTCAACCCTTACGATGGCCGCGCTTTTGTTATATTTTGTCAACGAAAATAAAAGATATCGACGGAGTAGAGAAATTAGTTTCTATAAACGACGGCTTCTGCATAAATATACAGTTGTCCTTAGGATGACCACCTTTTTCTTATATTTCATATATAAGTAAAACGAGATATACAGGGTAGGGTGTCTGTAAAAGGTCTTTACAAAAACATACCACATATTCCTTAGACCAAAATAAGTCGATTTAAGTAAAATTACCTTAGTACAAAGTTGCTTCGTTTGGGCTCCAGAGGGCCTTGAAGTTACAATTTTTAAATCGGTTTTCCCATATAAATTTAAAACGGCATATGCGATTTTGCTGAAATTTGGTATATTGCTGGAGTTTTATGTGGCAAAAAAAAAACAGGATTTAAAATTTTGTCCGATAACAATACATAGGCGTAGAACTTGATTTTTTAAATAATTGCACCTTCAAAAATTCTACGCCAATGAAAGAAAAGGAGTTTGAGTATGAAATTTAGATTGCGCAACTCATTTACTTTAAAAAAGGTACTTTTGATAAGACTCGATTACTCTCATGGTTTTGATGAAATTTGCATTTTAGTAATTTTAGAACATAAACAATAATTATTAAAATACAAACTTTGTCAAAACCATGAGAGTAAATCGAGTGTTATCAAGGGTACCTTTTTGTAGTAAATAAGTACCCAATCCAAATTTCATACTCAAACCCCTTTTTGCCATTGGCGTAGAATTTTTAAAGGTGCAATTATTTAAAAAATCAAGTTCTACGCCTATGTATTATTATCGGACAAAATTTTATACGATGAAAAACGTAAAAATGTACTTTTTTCATATCTTCTTCAACACCTCTAATCGAGACTTTTAACAAAAGTACTCGATTCTTGCCATGTACGATTTTTTGAGGAATATTAATTATTTGCCTGCAATACGTATACAAAAACATTTATTGTTGGTTTCCATAGTTTCATCTAAATAAAAATATTGTCAAGTTTTAACACCTAATCTCTTGTTAATGATTAAAAGTGTTCTATCTGACTCAATAATTAAAAAAACAAATGCGTGGTTTAATATTATGACTGTACAATATACCAATGCAGAATATACCGATATGTTACTGACATTAGGATTTTGTGAAGGAAATGCTCGAGAGAGTGTCAGGGTGTACTCTGAAAGGTTTCCAAATCGTCGAGTACCTAGCCACCCAACTTTTGCTGCTGTTGAGAGACGTCTTCGGGAGATCGGTTCATTTACTCCCAACACTGTTGATAATGGAAGAGAACGTTTTGTAAGGATTCCTGATGTTGAAATATTAGAACGTGTTGAAGAAGATCCAAAATTAAGCACCAGACGAATTGGAAGGGAACTAGGAGTAAGTAAAGATGTCGTTCATAAAGTGCTTAGAGAACAATTGCTATATCCATACCATAAGAAGCCAGTACAAGAATTATTAGTCCATGATCCTTAAATTCGTTTGGGTTTTTGTCGATTTGTTAATATGTAAAGAGAAAGAAATCCAAACTTTGTCAAGAAGGTTCTCTTTACCGATGAAGCGGGTTTTACAAGAAGAGGTATAATTAATACCCATAATGAACATGTTTATGCCGTTGAAAATCCGCATGCAATAAAGGTAAACCATTTTCAGCACGAATTCAAAATTAATGTGTGGGCTGGAATAATTGGTAATTTCATTATTGGTCCTGTCATACTTCCACGAAGATTAGCTGGAGAAAATTATTTGGATTTTCTACAAAATACGTTGCCAGAATTGTTAGAAGATTTACCTCTCCAACTTCGGAGAGAAATGTGGTTTATGCAAGATGGAGCTCCACCACATTTTTCTTTAAACGTTAGAAACCACTTGAATGAACAATATCCACACAAATAGATAGGCAGAGGTAATGACGCACCTGTAAACTGGCCACTACGTTCCCCAGACCTTACACCGATGGATTACTTTTTATGGGGACATCTGAAATCCACAGTTTACAGGGAACCTGTAGAAAATGAGGAACAACTCTGGCAACGTATTCAAGATGCAATAAACAATCTTAGAGGTGATGAAGAAGTTATGGAAAGGATACATTTTAATTTTTTTCGACGTATAAATCTTTGTATGCTTGAAAATGGTGAACATTTTGAACAATTTTTGTAAAATCTCTATTTTGATTATGTTGTAAATAAATATGTTTGTAAAACCTATACACTCTAAATTATTAAATTTAGCGAAAACCATGAGAGTAATCGAGCTTATCAATAGTACCTTTTTTAAAGTAAATGAGTTGCGCAATCTAAATTTCATACTCAAACTTCTTTTCTTCCATTGGCGTAGAATTTTTGAAGGTGCAATTATTTAAAAAATCAAGTTCTACGCCTATGTATTATTATCGGACAAAATTTTAATACCATTTTTTTGCCACATAAAACTCTACCAATATACCAAATTTCAGCAAAATCGCATATGCCGTTTTAAATTTATATGGGAAAAACGATTTAAAAATTGTAACTTTAAGGCCCTCTGGAGCCCAAACGAAGCAACTTTGTACTAAGGTAATTTTACTTAAATCGACTTATTTTGGTCTAAGGAATATGTGGTATGTTTTTGTAAAGACCTTTTACAGACACCCTGTATAGTCAGGTTGACCAAGCATATACACGTTGAATAGAACCAGATTTCGCTACTAGAACTGTTTTGTAAGGTTATATCTACCGAGCGACTAAAATATTGGCGTAACTGATACTAGTAAAACGACGCTAGTCTAGTTAAACGCCAGATATTTTATATCTCCGATTCAACATTATAAAATGTTACTAAATGATTAAAAGTACTACTCTAGGCGACGTTCGTAGTGGATTTTGTCACCCTTCAGGCGGATCCGACGAACTTGCGCCCGGTAGACGCTTTTATCAGCGGTATACTTTTTTTTTTGTAAGGTTTCTTTTACGTAGAATTAAAACGATAATCGCACTATTAAAGTAATCAAACTAGTATTTAATATTCAGATATTCCGGGGGAGAGTTTAGACTAACATTAATGGGTTACAGGTATAGTCCATCCATTATCAATTGCAGAACACAGTTATGTGGGAAATTATCAATATTTAATATATACGCACGATACTCATGCCAAATTAAGAAACGAAAAATAATGTTTACTCCCCTTATACAAAGCGGTAAATATTAAACGAACCATCAGTTGTTTACCAATGAAAACATCGAATCGTAAACTTAAATGCACTGTATTGGCAGGTTTACGGAAGGTAGGTGTTCGAAAATATTCCTGGAAGACAGTCTGCGATATCAGTGGAGTACTGTCGTGCGGTGTGTTTTGTATGTAATTTAAATTTCTTTTAATAAATATAAATATGGCGTTCTTTAGACCATGGGCGAATGAAGAAAATGAAATTGCACAGTGTAGTGAGATTAAAGACAGGTATGACTTTAACGATAAGGATTTAGATATACAAACCCAACAAGTTATTTTAAATATATTCGAATGTTTAAAAAAGGAAAATATTCAGCAGTCTGATAATGCGTTCATAATAACAATTGCTGAATTAACTAAAGTAAATAAATTTTCCGTTTATCCGGTAGTCACGAAAGAGGTTGCTGCGGATTATTCATAAAAGCGAAAAACATGTAAAGAAAAACTGAAATCAGTTGACAGAGCTACCCAAGATTTTATACGAAGGACAATTTATAGTTTATATAAGGAGAACAGGGTTCCGACATTGGAAGTAATACAGCAAAAGGTGGCAGATTTTCCAGGATACACTTATACCAGTTTGGAAACATTGCGTCAAGTTTTGTCAGCATGTGGTTTTAAACACAAAAAATTGAATAAACAGATGGCAATCACCGAATCGTCAAGGATAGTTCAATGGCGACAAGATTATTTGCGTCAGATAAAAGGCTACAGAAGTTCTAATAGATACATAATTTATCTAGATGAAACATGGTTTGACAGTCACGATGTA